ACCTTGGGTAACATATACACCATAGAGATCGTTTTACATATGCTCAATGCAGCAAGAAATAATAATGGATATTATCGAGAAGCATAAAAACATCTTGCCCAATGTCTATTATCCCCATTATCTGTATTTTTCATTTATTACATTACGAATAATATGTAAGAATGACATATCATTTTAATTAAACCGTTTAATGATATTAAGAACACTCACATGTAAAAACAAATGTAAATTTTTATATACGCATGTCGTAGGTATTGCGATATTATTTTTGAAATAATTTTAATTGTTATATTTTTTTATTACTTATGAAAGTAATAGTATAATATTTCTAGGTAGAATATATTTTTTATCATACCTGGAACATGAATCCCGAACCGAGTACCAGTACCATTATGAGGTATATCGTGTAGCGTCTGACTGTAGACTGAAAGGGCCATAGACCAAGGACACTTAAAACTATCCGAGCGATATTGTAATGTCAAAAGAGTTTTTATCGATTTATCAGGAGACGCGGTAGAGTGTCTCCGGCCAAGTTCAAAAAACGACACTACTAAGTCAGGAAAAGAATCTCTGGCAAAGTTCAGAAAATGACACTACTAAGTCTCTTATCCTGCGCGCACAAAGTCGACTTTTCGGGGGTTTGTAGCAACTAAAATATAAAAAATTTTATAAAAACACATAGTATATGCCACACCGAACAACATGTTAACTTACATAATGTCAATTAATTACATGATGTCAATTAATCATGCTATTATTACATTATTACTCATTTTCGTTGTTTCATAATACTATAGGTGTAAAGATGTAAAGGGGTGGAGGAGTGGTGGAGCTTCTTGACGGGGGGGGGGGGAGGAAAGGGGGAAATGGCGTGAAAGGGTTGCGCTAGGAGGGGGGGGGGGTTGGTAAAGCCCGTTGGCAGCGCCAAGTGTTTTGATTTTTAATAAATATTTGTTATTTTAATTAAATTTTTTTAAATCAAATTTTGATCAGTTTTATTTATACATTTTATGAATATTTTATGTATGTTTATTTTGAATTTGCACCTTGAATAACATATCAGTTACTTTTCATGTTGGTGATATATTAAAAATTTAGATAATTATTAAAATATAAACATATTGGAATGTTTTTTTGGAACTTGGCCAGACCTTATCATTTATGAATTTTTGTGCTATATTCTTATATCTGCATTAATGGGCTTTTTTTGTTAATATTGAAAAAGTTAATATTGAAAAAAGTTCAATTTTTTATTTGCAACATTTGTATATGTGTATAGATATTGTTTAGAAATTAAAGTTACATTATAAAGAATAATAAAAAAGTATACGCTGCTAATAGAGTTAGAATTGTATTTTGACATTTGAGAAGTAAATAGATATATAAAATTTATAAAATAGTTTTCTTTAAAATATACGATGCAAACATTATTGATAGACTCACCTAAATATTTTTTCTAATAAACAACATTAGTTATAAAAAAATTATTGCATATTGTATTTTTATTTATTATTACTTTTATTAGTTATTACTTACTTAGTTGATGAATTTTTATAAGAGAGATTTAGCAACTGTCGTGTTATTAAAAAGATAGATTTAATTTCTTCTATAGTATAGTTTTTATTTAATTGTATAGAAAATTTTTTGGAAGGTACATTTTATATGTTTGTAGCAAAATATGGGTAATAAAGTGAATTAGTTATTTATTAAACAAGCGTATAAATATATCTTCTAAATATTTTTTATTATATATAAAATTTTTATTGCATCGATCGTAGAAGCATAAAATATGACGACGACGCACGTAACACCTTAAATCGCAATAAATAAAATCTTATTCATTTGATAGCGAAATTGTGCTTGTGTTAATAAGGTGATATTATTTTACATACCGCGTTGAAGTTTACGTATGACAAGACGACGAAATTGCCTGCAGTTATTCTTAACGGATTTTTGCTTCTCATCATAATCATGATGAAAAGTTTTCTTTGCGCTATTGGCATATTATACCACTCTGCCTTATATCTGCAAATGTATTATATTTATATTATCTAGGTAGAATTTTATAAGAATGTTTATGTGAACCATAATATTTTTTTAATTCCCTTGATTTTTTGTGCACTGTTTTGTTCACTTTGTTATACATATTTACGACAAACATTTTTACATAATTTATCACTTTGAAAACATTCCTGCTTTTATTTCTATGAAACGTACGCGGATTCATACACCATTTCGCTGGAATCTATCATTTTCTGACCTTGCCAATTAACAAAAAATGTGTTGAGAAGAAGCGCACTTAAATAAGTAGCATATTTTAGCATATGATTAACATCTTCTGTACTCGTTATCACCTGAAAAAGTACTTCCATGTTATAAAAACTGACACAAAATTGTAAAATATTATGAGTGTACCTGAAATCCCAAAATACTTAAAACTGATATATTGGCACCGACGTTCACGAAAAGCGGTATCCTGTGTATGGACTCCGTAATCGTAGCAAATCTGACCATATAAAAACATAGCTTAAGTCACTATTTTTTACGAGTAATGAGTGAAAAAAAAACTAACTTTATTGCTTCTGCGTGCCTTCGAATACTGTACACGATATTTAAGTAAAGTTTATTTTTCGTGGTTATTAAATTATCGCCATCTTTTTCAAATTCAAGTGTACCTTCCAAGCGATACCTGCAATTAAATATTGTGGGAACATTAATAGAGTGAATATTTTATTTCAGAGAAATATAGAATTTATTTGACTCACCTCATAGCTGCAAATAAACCGCAGCAATGTTGGACGAGTGTGAGATATAAGACATCGAATGTATTCATTAAGATCGTATAAAATATATCACACATGGCGGTATGTATGAAAATTGGTACATAGTATGTATTTAGATCAATCATATAATTGACGCGATATGGTAATCCTACTTGCGCACCATGCGCGTTGCTCAAACTACTATTCTCGGTGGGTTCCACGTAGAAAATTTTAGTTAGCAACGTCGATAATACAAAAACAAAGGTATGACTGACTATGATACCTAATTTAAGAAACGTGTTTTCTGACATTTATTATTTGTAAGTATTATTGCGAATAAAAAATAAAATAAAAGAGTGTATAATAAAGTTTTACGAAGATGCATTTTAGATAGATAGAAACATAGTATTGTACAAAAGTTGTCTGATAAATAGGATACATATAGAAATTATTCGTTAATGTTTATTCTATAAACTATGAAAAAAACATTGATAGCAATATTCATTTTTTCGCATAATTGTCGTAACAATCAAAGCATTTTTCCATTGTTTAATAAATTCAAAAATTGTTTTACAATAGAGTTATCTAAGTATCATAGTGTCATAAAGCAGTAATCTTCAATTTATTGTCTATAAATTTTCCCGATATAAAGTTTTTAATGGAATTGTAAGAAATTATCGATTTATTCTTTTACAATTTTTTAAAGAACATTTTTGTGTAATTTTTATATGTATCTTATTTGTCAGATGTCTTTCATACAATTATTGTGTTGCGCTGTAAACTTACACACATAAGCATAGCCCAAATTACGCCCGTATAGCGCAAATGAATGTAGAATTTTGATCTCTTCGTCCGACTTCGGGGAATACCAATATTCTTGCATTTTTATAAGAAGTATCTTAATCTACAGCTCGAAGACAATTTAAGTGCGATATTGCGTTGCTTGTATTATTCGAGCTTATTGCGACATTTATTTCGAACTCGACACAATTAGAATAATCTATTGTTATTTTTGCTTACGCACCTCAGGCAACGTGTATATCGCGCAGATTAATTTAATCATTGACACTGCACCGAGAACAAATAACGGCAAGCAGTCAACCACTTCTAACGAATCTGGCCAAACCTCAATCACACCTAGCACCTACATCCGGCACAGATTTAAAATTTAAATTGTTCGCGTAATAATTGCACCTGCGATTGATCGCACCGCTTGATTTATATTAATTTTGTGCTCTGCTATAGTAGCAAATCAGCTGAAATCATGGTGTGCACGTGCATTCTGTATATATCCGCGTATTCTACATGTCACGACTGTAATATAATTATTGCAAGTAAAAAGTAAAGAAAAGTATTTTTTTTAAATACATTGTGAAATATATAAAGTGAAGAAGAACGCTCGATATATTTTATGAGCGAAAGTTTTCCAAAAATCTTCAAATTTTTTGAATAATAAGCTAGTAAAGTGAGAATGATAAAAAATACATGGTGCTTTGAGATATAATCAGGCGTTAAATATTATACCTCGAATATAAATCCGGATCCGAGTATGAGCAAAAATCCAAAATATATCGCACAACGTCTGCTTTTCGAGTGATAAGGCCATAGACCACTCGCACTTAATAGTATCCGAAGAATGTTGTAATACGAATTCTGAAAAAACTGATCGTTTTTATCCATATTGCCTTTTACGTACCGCTGCTATTATTTCAAGAAATTCAGTCAACGCGGGATATAGATCAGATGCATATTGAGAATTCTGTTTAATGTTGATTGCCATAGGCCGCAAAATACATATGTTGCTATAATACGTTCGCAAAATCCATTCAGAGGGATCCATTCAATTGTAAAATTACAACATTTTCTTATACAAATTGCATAATTATGAGTAGCAGAGACAGTCGTGATCACTTTAGTCGGTTTGACGAAGACAAAGAGAGATATGAAAGTTTTATTTGTGAGTAGAGAAAGTCAGTGTAAGGCCAGACGATAGTGAAAAAGAATATAGTTCTTTTACATTGAGGGTAATTTTATGGTTCTTCTCAAAGGCGTTTTACTTTACCTGTTGACGTTGTCTCGCCAAGATCTATACTTGTTTTATTTTTAGTTACAAAAAGTTAAAAAAATAAAAATAATTGTTTTAAAATAAGATCTACTTGTAAGTATTGCTTATTTTTAATTACTCTTCTATGAATATAAACAATACCGTTACATAAATAACGAATTATTATACACTCTTATATATCCATTTTGTACTTTTTAGCAGAAAAATTTTTGAAAATTCTAGATTACTGTACAGATTGCAAGACGGTGAAGTACGAAGCAGATACACGAACGACCTAGAAAAATTAAATATAATAAACGTTTGATTCTTTCCATAAAAATAATAAAAAATATTAAATATTTATTCTTTTTAGTTTTTCTCTAAATACATCAATAAATATATAAAAAAATTGCGATAAAGTCTTACCGCACTAAAACTCGGAAGAGAAAGAACCATGAGTTTGCCTACAGTCAATGTACAAGGTGTGGCGCTCCTCAGCATCATCATATTTAAGAGTTTTTTAGATTTGGGTGGTGATTCATACCACTTACCTTGGTAACTAGTATTAAAAATCTTATTAATATTATGCGATTTTAATGAAAATTTTTCTACGCTTATTTGTAAGATTTGTACTAAATCTGATCAATAGTATTTCTATACGTTATAATTTAGATGGCTTACACTGATGTGTATATATAATCGCTATAATCGATTATTTGTTGTCCTAACCAGCATGCGATATATAAATGCAATAATTGAGCGATTATGAAACCGCTATGTCGGATTGCAAGCTGCAGAGTGAGAGTTTCACTAGTTGCCTAAATATTTCAAAATATAATGATTTTAATGTTCACAATTAGTACTTACAAAATTGCGTAAAATCAAATAAAATATTTTTATAAGATAATTTTATAAAAATTTTTTATTTATTTATTACAGGAGCGGCTTAATAGGCCTTCTTTTCTACTTTCTTTTGACAGCATAATAAAACATTGAACTTTTACGAGATAAGATAACTTTATGTATTTTATTTATCATAAAAAATTATATGAAAAATTGTATATTACAAAATTAACCATTATTGCGATATTTATCACAAACCTGAAGAGCCGACAAACTCATAGCCATTATAATTAAGCCGACTTCCACGAAGAATGCTTTTGTATATATGGTCTCTAAGCAGTTTGCGAATCTTATTTAAAGAAAAATGTTTATAATTATTTAGTCTTTTTTTAATATACTTTACACAAATAGAAAATTTCTGCATGTCTTGCGATCATGCAAGTCATCATCAAGAATATGTACTAACTGTAAGGCATCTTCGTGTTTTCGAATGCAATACGCGAAATTCTTATAAATCTTATCATCTTCCTCAAAACAGGACAACTCCTTATCCTGTTCTATAGATTCTCGTATATACTCCATCCGATATCTGAGAAGCGATAGGAAAGAGTCGAAACTTTAAAATGTTTTATATTAATCGATTTGAATTATCATATTCATACATACCTGACAATTGAAAATAGTCCGCAACAATGCTGCACCAATATAGCCACGCACGTATCGGACGCGACTACGGTAGTAAGACGAATGGCAACGGCTAGATAATTATGAATTAATATGGGATAATAATATTTTTCGAGGTCAATATAGTATTCAACATGATACGGGAATCCCACTGGTCGTGTTGAATAATTAGAAGCCACACTTCTGCCGAGTATTTTCGGAAGTATCGCCAGAGATGAAAAGAGACTGCCGAATGCGTACATACCACCTGAATTTCAGTAACACTTAAAAAAATTATGTTTGAACAAATTTTGTGCGCCATAATTAAATTCCGGTATTTGAAAACGCAATGTAATAATTTTTTTCATAAGCAAACCATGCAAAGTTAATTAGTGAATTTTTTTAGTATAATTGTTCTTCTAATTTTAATGCATAAAAATTATGTTATCAATATCTTACTGGCATAGCCGATTGTAATGCTTCTTCCATTCTCGGCAAACTTGTGTAGAATTTCGAATTCGCTTCTGATGGTCCACAATTGCCAATCTTTTTGTATGTGTATAAGAAGTATCTTAATCTACGGCTTGAAATTCCATTTCTTCAGAACTGTTGTCACATTTTTAAACTTTACATTTGATATTGCGATTATATCTGCATACCTTCTCTCTATTGCACAGTAAGTTCGTCAGCTTAACAATGCAAGCACAGTCTACTATAAGAGGTGGTATACATTCGAGCGTTGCGCTGAGATCGCCGCGTAACGTCAATAAGGCAAGTGCCTTGAATCCATAATTCGTAGCAAGATAAAGATGATTAAAACAAAAAATACGTTTCGCAAAATATAAAAATTTAATATGCCTTAAAATTTTTCGTCATTATTTTGTATTTACTTAGAATTTTAGACATTTATAAATACATATACATATATATATATATATATATATATATATATATATATATATATATATATATATATATATATATATACTATATATATATATTTTTTTTTTTTAATTTTTAAGAATATAATTTGTAATATCAAATACAAATTTTGAAATATAAATTTTTATTTTAATAAGATTGCAAAGTAGACAATATACCTGCGCGATAGCTTGAGTTATACCAGCAAGCGATATTGCAATAAAGATAGCTAGTCTCTCTCTATTTTTTTGAAAAGGCCACTGCCCCAGCAATGAAAGAAATACACGATTGAGTCTATATAATCGAGTCTGAAAGACATCGTTTGATGTATCCATTTTAGTCACTCGATTGCAACTACTTTACTGCCGATATTGCCTTGCGATTTTCTGTCTGATAAAAAATTCTCTCAGAGAGAAAACAGTGTATAGCGAATGAGATATGGTCGCGAGAAATTACAGACATTTGCAGAACCGATTATTCTCTTAGAATGATGAAAGGTTTAAGCGGTTGAAAACACACATTTATCGTAGCGATATCTAATGCCATGAAAACTTTGACATATAGCAATATTGACAGTGCATCACAATATTAGCATCTTTATTACTATATGTTTCTTCAAATTTATGCTCGGAAATTTCAGATCGTCAAGCAGTTTGAACAGAAGATTATAATGAATAATTGTCGAATAATTAGGATTTTTCAACCTGTTCAAACTAATTTTTGGTCCAAAAATTTGGAAATTGTTTGGTTTAGAAATAGTTCGAATATAAAATTTATAAAATGTGAAAATGTTGTACATATGTACGAGGATCAATTGAAAAGTTCCCGGCCTAATCAAGAAAAACACATGTTTTTGAGTGGAAAAAAATTTATTTCTCAACGTAGTCTCCTTTCAACTCAATACATTTGGTCCACCTTTTATCTCAACCACTCAAGCCATAAAAAAAAAATTGTTTGTCCAAACCCGAAAAATACTCATTTACAGTGTGTTCTACGGCAGCATTTGATTCAAATTTTTTCCACCAAGCCATTTTTTCACATTTGGAAAGAGGAAGAAGTCGCTGGAAGCCAGATCTGGTAAGTAGGAGGGATGCAGGAGCGGATTCGAATTTCAATTCATGCTCTAGCCGCACGCGTTTTTGATCAATTGTCAGCAAACGCGGCAACCAGCGCGCGGGTTTGGACAAATAATTTTTTTTTATGGCTTGAATGGTTAAGATAAAAGGTGGACTAAATGTATTAAGTTGAAAGAAGACTACGTTAAGAAATAAATTTTTTTCCACCCAAAAACATGTGTTTTCTTGGTTAGGACGGGAATTTTTCAATTAACCCTTGTATTTTATTTAATTCTGGATTTATTTTGTTTAAAATATTTTAAAAATAATTGCTGTGCGCTTTGAAGTTTTTATTTATTTTTTGAAAAATATTTGTTAAAAAATATAATACGGTTTTTTTAAAAACAACTTTTTACATATATAAACTTTATTTGCTTAATAAAAATCTAATTTTTATAGAAATATTAGAAATTATTCAGCATTTACAAATAAAAATAAACAAAAAAACAAACAAATAAAATAATACATAGGTTATCGAACATTTCTATATAGCAGAATTCAAATGTTATGACGTAAAATATCATCGACAAACAATCGATTACTTCAAAAAAATCTGGTAAAATGTCAATTATATACAGCTGTTATTTTTGTCACAGATTATAAAATACCGATGATAAGTACAATTTTAAAATTTATATTTACTTTGAGAAAGTGTAAGAAAATCATTTTGTAGGTTTTTTAAATAAATTTTTTTTGTTTACCACAGATATTAAAAATATAAAAAAAGAATAAAGATACAGATTCAAGACATGAGTGAAGCATGCTGTAAACAGCTTGTTCTATTACTACTAGTAAAAAACTTTCAAATTTTTGGCTTAAGTGTATGTGTATTATTTGTTAAAGAATTACATTTTTTATGCACTACATATGTATAACGGTTCATTACAAAATTCTTTCAAACATTTATTTCTTTTTAAATAGTTTTTCTACTCACCAAAACTATAGAGTATGAAAAGATGTGTTAACTAAATATATAATACTATATAGCAATAATTGTTAATAATAACATAATAATTAAAAATAAAACAATTTTTATACTTATATGTTTTAATAATTTGTGATAGGTCAAACTTCTGGTTTTAAAATAATTTTTTTTATTTAAAAATTAATAATTTTTTTACAATGACAGTGACTCAATTACCTGAATAAAGATGTGACTGTCAAATATTGAAATGTGATGGATCATAAAACGTAAATCTAAAATTGTCGTTTATTACGCATTTTACTGCATAGATCGTAATAACGTAAAGTATGACATCGACATCCGCATCATCTTGAACAAAGTTTTCTCATTTTTATAAAAAAAATGGTATGTAACAATTATGAGATAATTATACGTACTGCATTGAAAGTCACGTATGACATCACGATGAGTTTATTAGCTGCACTTAGTGTCAGTGGTTTTTCACTTTTCATAATTATTATCACAAGAAGTTTTCTTGTCTCTATTGGCATACTGTACCATTCTGCATTATATCTGTAAATTATATAAGAGTTTGGATTTATTTCATTACTTATTTGTCGATTATGTTGATATATTTTTGAAGTCTTTTATCACAACTCCATAGTTTGCAAATGTATTTTTGATATTGTGTATAATATTGTATACAATATAATATGATTGTGTACAACGTACGGGGAGTCAAACACCTTCTCGCTAGAATCTATAATTTTCTGACCTTGCCAATTCTCAAAAAATACATTGATTATAAGCCCGTTCAAATAGCTAATGTGGTGCAAAAGGTGACTAAGATTTCCCGAATATGTTAAAATCTAAAAAAATATGTAAATATATTAGCAGTCATATATAATGATATAAGTAAAAAGAGGAGACATTTCAAAAATAATTATTTAATTAAAATAAAAATTAAAAAATAATGTGCGTATGTATGGTATAAAATTTGTAAAAAGTGTTATATAGCCATGTGAAACATTTTATTAGAGGCACAATATAGTACCTGATATCCTATACAACTCATTATTAATACGGAACATCCTACATGTATAAAGAGAGGTACACTATATGCCGATTCCAAAATAGCGACAAACCTGGGCATAATATGTACAAAAATATTAGTTTATTATTATTGTTCTCAAAGTTGATGAATATTCATATAAACACATATGTGTATTACTCACTCTATTGCTTCTGCATGTCTCCGAATGCTGTACGCCACGTTTGAATAACATTTATTTTTTGCTGATGACATTGACAAACCATTGTATTTGTCTTTCAAGTCGTATACGTGCTCCAGTCGAAATCTACACTTTATTATTTTCCAAATTATAATTATTTAAGAAAAAAGACAATTTAGAACAAATATTGCATTCGACAAGTTAGTTAGTTTCTTGGTTATTTTGTTAAATTATTGTTATGCATTATCAGGTTGACATAGTTTATCAAATTTACCTTAATGCATCGAATAAACCGCAACAGTATTCCACCAATGTTAAATAAAATGTATCGCATATTATTATTAGCGCCATATAACCGATATGACACGTATGCGTGTGTATAAAAATTGGCATATAATTCGTGTCTATGTCAACCATGTAATCAACGCGGTAAGGTAGTCCGGGAAAAACGCCACTATTTGACGTTCTGTTTGCGTATCTTGCACGAGTAAATCCACCCATTCCTGTTGTAATTACGAGCAAGATGTCATGAAAAAGTATGATACCTAATAAACATGAAAACATTGGGTTTTTTAAATTTTTTTTAAATTTTGAATTATAATTATAATTTGTTACCATATACAATTATTTTAAAATTAAAGAGTCATAATTATTATAAAAGTTAAATGCTTTTTCAGAATACACGAAGATATTGTAAATTGCAAATTGCCTTTTAAAACTGTTTACAGGATTAAATGTGTAACATGTGATGTTGTAACATTATATTACAGTTACACTCCACTGATATTACTCACTTATATAAACAATGCCAAAGTTTCGTCCATACGTTGCATGTGACTGTTGTATTTTATATTCTCCATCCGACTTTGACGAAACACAGTACTCTTGTATTTTTATTAAAAGTAATTTTATCTACAATTGCAGCAAATTTAAATACAAAATTACGCAATTATTTTAGGAGCTTACTAGTATTATTTTAATTATTAATTGTTGGTATAAGCAACATAATTTTTATTAACACACCTTGGGTAATTTAATCACCAGAGCGATCAATTTAAATATGTTCGCTACAGCAAAAAGTAACAACGGCAGAGAGTCAACTACTTCCAAAGTATTTTCCCAAACTTTTATAACACCCATTATCTGCATTTTTCATAGATTATGTTATATTACGAACACATCACATAATAGTTGCCGTAACTTTAATTAAACAGTTTTATAATATTCACATTTAAAAAAGTTGTTTAAGCGTATTCAAGTAATGAAAGTAAAGTAATCAAAGTTAATTTTTGTACACATTTACTGTAGATATTGCAATATAATTTTCCCGAATAAATATTTGATTTAGATATTTTTTTATAAATTATAAAAGCCAAATAGAATTGTATTTTAGGATGATAGGACATTTTTTCTTAATATACCTGAAATGTAAATCCGGATCCGAGTATCAATGCCGTTACAACATATGTCACATAACGTCTGACTGCTGAATGATAGGGCCAGAGACCGGCGATACTTAATAGTATTCGAATGACATTATATTGCGAATTCTGAATAAAATGATCAACTTTATTCATTCTGTCTTACAGTTATTACGTCTTACGCTTTTGTAAAAGCGAAAGTCAATCGTCGTGAGGTACAAGGCGCGTCAACGCTTTAGAATTTTAATGTTAAGTGCGCGTAATGCTAGGCTCTACGCACGCTCCGTGTGATAAGCACTGACTGAAATTGTTCACAGGAGTGCATTGTGAAAATGATGTCAAAGCGCTGAGGGTCATTTGCGATCGATTGCGAAATTACGAAATTCTGTTCTATGAATTGATTATATGCTATGGTTGTATGATTATATGGTAAGATAGTAAGGTGCTTTTGCCCTTTCAAATCGCAAAATTATGAAATTATTATCTATAAGTTGCAAGACAGTATGCTATGACTGTATGATCAAAAGTAGTATCTTTCTTTGCAAGTTTTGTGGAAACGTAAGCAACTAGTTCTTTGAAACTGTTTTTCCATTGTTGCATTTGAAGACGGTAGTTTCATGATGACAGTCAAAGGAGCTTTTACATCGATTCGTTGCACATATTGGCGTTGGTGTGAATTTTAGATATCTTTCTTATTGTTAATGTCCGGAAAATTACATTTTTATTTGCAACATTTTTATAAATATAGAAATTTCTTTTATATATTTTTTAAATTAATTTTATGAAACTATGTTGAATTAAAAAACTTACCTGCATAAGCGTGACTGAAGTTTTGCATGAACAATGAATATGATTGCAAAATTTTAATTTTTTTATATGACTTTGGAGAATGTTCTTATATCTTCATTAAAAGCAACTTATTCTATAGCTCCAAGTTTAAATAGAATCATTCAATAACGCTTGTGTTGCTATTATCTTAATTGTTTAGACATTTCTCTTAGCATGAGCAATATTACTGTTACTTATGTATCTCCGATTACTTATACAGCGTGACAGATCAATTTAAATGTTAACGTTATGACATAAAATATCATGAAAAAATGGAGGACATGAAAAAATAATCAATTATTTGTTAACGAAAAAAGATAGATTTTTTATAAAAAAGGATAGAAAATTAAAATAAAGTTACGTGTAAATATTGACTTTTTAAATTTTAATTATCTTTCGTAAATACAGACAATGTTTTGCAATTATTTAAAAACTAAAGTACTATACATTTTATTTTACATCTTTTAGAAGAAAAACTTTGATAATTCTCAATTACTGTACAGATTGCAAAACAGTGAAGTACGAAGCAGACGCACGAACAACCTATGAAAGCAAATGTACAATAAACATATATATTTTATGTAAGATATATAAAAGAAAAATTACCGCGCTAAAACTCGGAAGAGAAAGGACCATGATTTTTCCTACAGTCAACGTACAAGGTATAGTACTCCTCAACATTATCATATTTAAGAGTTTTTTCGATTTCGATGGTGATTCATACCATTCTCCTGCATAACTGTTATCGAAAGATCGTATTAATGCATTACAAACTGTGATAAAAATTTCTCACGAAAAATTTTTTTATGTACTTGTAAAACTTATTTTATATTTCATGGGGATAGTAATTCAGTAATGGCTTACATTGATGTGTATACACCGTCGCTATGATCGACTATTTGTTGCCCTAACCAACAAGCAATAAATAAATGTAGTAATTGAGCGGCTATGTAGCCACCATGTCGAAGCGCAAGTTGCGGTGTGAAAGTATCAGTGGTCGCCTAAAAATGTTTTGTATATTGAAGCGATATTTTAATACTGTGGATAAATTTATTGTGCGATGTATGCAGCACAAACCTGCAGAGCCGACAAACTCATAATCAATATAATCATACCGACTTCCATGAAGAGCGCCTTTTTATAAATTGTCTCCAGGCATTTCGCGAATCTTATTGAGAAAAGAAAATATTTTGCAAACTTGACAAAATTCTTCTATCAATCATTTTAATGTTAAAATATGTAAATTGCGAATATATCATGCAATTTTACAAATACTAACTGTAAGGCATCTTCATGTTTTCGAATACAATAAACAAAGTTCTTGTAAATTTTATCATCCTCCTCCAGTAAAGCGAGCTCTTTGTCTTGTTCGATCGTACTTTTTTATATGCTCCAATCGATATCTAAAGAATGAAAGAAAAATCCAAGAAAAATCCATTTTTTCTCAATTAATACAAATTATATCTGAAATACACACCTGGCCATTGAAAATAATGCACAACAATGTTGCACTAAAATAGCCACGCATGCGTCGGATGCGACTATAATAGTAAGACGAACAGCAGTAGCTAGATAATTATGAATCAACACGGGATAATAATATTTTTTCAAGATCTATATAATATTCAACGTGATATGGAAATCCTACTGGTCGCGTCGAATAATTGGATTCAATATTTTTGCCGATTATCTTCGGAATTATCGCCAGGAACGGAAAGAGACTGCCAAATGCGTATATGCCACCTAAATTTGTGCATTATTTATAATTAATAATACTTTTAGCAAACAGATTATTTTCCGTAAGCATCGATGATAATTTTTACATTTTAAAACATTTAAATTGAAAAAATTATCAATGCACAAGTTAGTAATTGTGACAAAGCTAATTATAATAATTATTTTACATAATTATTATCGAAACGTTTATTGCAATTATTTGCTACTTTTGAATTTTAATGCATTAAAATTGTTATTAGCATATTTTACCAGCATAACCAACTGTAATACTTCTTCCGCTTTCAGCGAATTTATATAGAATTTCTAATTCGCTTTCGATGGTCCACGATTTCCAATCTCTTTGCATGTGCAAAAGAAGTATTTTGATCTACAGCTTGAAATTTTGTTTCTTTAAAGATACAAGAATATTTACTTAATGATCACCGATAATAATATCACGATTCTTTGTATACCTTTTTCGTATTCAACATTAAATTTGTTAGCTTAACGATGCAAACGCCATCGATTAAAAGCGGTGCTACACATTCGAGTATTGCATTCAAATCGCCGCGTAACGTCATTATAGCGAGTACCTTGAATCGAATCAAATTTGTAACAATAAAATTGTCTATATAAAATAGAGCATAATTTTCAATGTATTTGGTTAATATTTGAAATTTATAAAACAGAAGAAACAGTATTGAGAAATTTGCTGATTTTTTATAAGAATCGCAATATTATAAGTATACCTTTGTGATAGCTTGCGTTATACCAATAAACGACACTATAATAAAGGCAATTCGCCTGTCTCGGTCCTTTTGAAAGGGCCATTGTCCGAGCAACGAAAGAAGTACACGATTGAATTTATACTGTCGAGATTGAAAAATGTCATTCGGTAAGCTATTCATTTTCACTATTTGATTGCGACTGTTGCACTGACGATGCCGTCTCCCGGTTTTCAGATTAATAAAAAATTCTGTTAGAGAGAGAATGGTAGATATAGCAAATGAAACATTGTCGCGAAAAGTAGCGAACATTTATCTTCGAAATGATTATCTTACAGAATAATAGGACAATATTGAATACACGTTATAGTTATATCTGTTCTTTTATGAGATTGATTTTTATACATTGACATCTTATAGCCCGCACTTACACTAATGAGAGCTTTGATATTGCGAATATTATCAAAGGACCCCTGCATGATTCTTATGAGGAAAGTTTTCGGTTAAATTATCCGAATTTGTGATATCATATATAGTTTTTATGTCTATGATTAAAAGACTCAATAGACACAAAACTTTACCAACGGACAGTTTTGGAGTTACAGGCAGTTTGACAGTCTTCGTCATGAGATCCATGTGGTGTATATTTGCCTACGCGAGTTTGTCGTGTATACCTACTTATGTATGGATCTTCGTAGATATCCTTATGTTTGTGCAAATATTTGTGCGTGTATGCTTTTATTTATTAATGAAAATTATACGCTTACGGCCGGCCGTCCCACTTCAGAAACGTTAACGCTACGTCGAGTGATATTATCGGCGCTCGATTGCCAGTGACATGCTAGAGTGAAACGGCCAACCATAAGGATACCAATTTTCATTAATAAGTGAAAGTACACGCACAAGCATAAGGACATCTACGAAGATCTATACATAAGTAAGATATCCACGACAAACTCGCGTAAGCAATCATGCAAACAGATCTTGTGAAGAAGACTTTCAAATGTCTATAACTAAAAAATTGTTTCCGTTGGAAAGATTTCTGCCCATTGAGTCTTTTGACATAAAGACACGAGAACTATATCATACTAGAAATTCAAACAATTTGACCAAAAAAAAAAAAAAAAAAACGTTTTCTCATAAAAATTATGCGGGATCCTTTAACGACGTATCACAATATCACTGTCTGAAGCTAATATTTCTGGCGTGTTTATCTTAAAATGAATTTTGTTTTACGAATATGTAACAAGTATTTCTGTATTTTTTATTAACAAAATTAACATAAAAGAGCTTTTATTTAAAAACAACAATTTTTTTCTTTCAAAATTAACAAAATTAACAAAAATACATAAGAAACATGATCGATATAAATTTTATTATAATTAATGTATTATTATTAACACAAAATAATTAGAATAAGTTTTTAAATTAAAAAAAAAGTTGAAAAAGAGACAATTTTGTATTTTCAGATTTCAACTTTTGATTTCTTAGAGCAAAAGATAAATTTTGTTTTTTAATGAGAAAAATTAGTAAAAAAATACTTAGCAGAATAAATGCACTTTTTGTATGTGTAATCTTGAGGATTATAATGCGCAGTGCGAAATCAGTGATAAGCGAGACGAGTGTCATAAGTTTAGATGATAATTATCATTGATTGGTGTAATTGATCTGTGATGTTTTATGAAGCTAATTATGAGAATTGATGTCTACAATAAGAAATTTAGTGTCAAACTACGAGAAATCTTGTAGCCGGATATGATAGCCATGACGTCAACAGCAGAATAATGATTATCACATAGAAGATAGTACAGTAAAATAGGACATGGACGCTCTCACAACCTGTATAACAATAATTTATTTAAGCCAGAATGTCTTTATAGGTGATCATAGTATATTACACATTTTATTATAATTATAAATTAATAATAAAATTCTAGCTATATTCTATATAAAACATAATTGTAAAATTTTTTAAATGTATAAATTTCTCTTTTGTTAAATTTTTTTTAATAATTTTTTCAGATTTTAAATAACTTCTTAAAAGTATAATTTCTCCCGCGATTAACAATTGTCGCTAATAAGCTATCTTCTTACCCTGCTAAAACTTCGTAAAGACATGACACTCATTTTTCCAACTGTTATCTGACACGGTATTTCGCAACGCATCAACATAAAATTTAGTAACTTTCTTGCTTTTAGAGAAATAGTATACCAATTCGCAGCGTAGCTGTAAAATAAAATACCCATTTGTTGCTCATATTTTTTTTTCTTTGCTGTATGAAAGATCTTTTCAATATGTTACTCTTTTGCTAGTGAAATTGTAATATTTATTTCGAGCTTATATATAAGAATATGTTTACGATAATTTAATGATTATTATTTTGATATGTGATATATCATATTTGATATATTTATATCTACTTACATGGCTTGATGCATGCTGGAACTGTGATCTATCAATTTCTGGCCCGGTAGACTGAGAAAGAGAAAATGCATCATTAGACAGACACCCGTCACTGCAAATCTGAATGCCTCCGTCGGCCGATCTAGATTGGTCACTGTCTAATTGGAAACCAAAGCGTTAACAGGTAATTCAGGTAACAATTCACGATGCGAACATGATAGAATGATACAGATATTTGATTTACTACATGTTGAATAATTGAGCTTTTAAAAAGCATTATAATTATAAAATTTATTATAAATATAAAAATATTAAAAAATAGATATTTTTTTTACAATAAAAGTTATAAAATATAAATCTTAAATACAACACTTTATGTGTTAAATGAACAATTCGGAATATTTAAAAGTTGACCGCGCTATATTTTGCGAACACACCTGTACTCCGCTGAATGTTACAATTGCCACGTTTAATATTGTCAAAACGAGGAAAGTCGTGCTGTATGAAGATGCCAATGATTTAGTAAACCTGATGACAGAACATATTTATCACAATTCGTGTAATAGAGCTTAGTGATTGTCATCTTTGTCTTCTTTTTTATTCGAAATTAAATCTCATTAAATTAGGAAATTTGCATTTTATATTTTGCTGCTAGAAAATTTACTGTAAAATTTCTCTGTGTTTCGCGATGCTGTCACAAATTATACGGTAATGTTCATCGTCTTCGATTAGCGGGTAAACGTTAACATCGATATTGTCATTCCGGTTCATATTTTCCAATTGATATCTAGGAAAATTATTAAGATGTTGTAAAATTATGATAATTATGTATTTTTTGAGTAGTCTGTCGCAATTATTCGCGTTTTCACGTACCCTATGGCTGCGAAAAGACCGCAAGCATGTTGTACGCAGACTATCAGCATAGGATCCGTTGCTACCGGAATGGTCATTACAAAAAAAGTGCTATAATAGGAATGTAGTAAAATGAAGTAATAATACTTCTCCGTGTCGACGACAGTCTCTACGTGATACAGCAAGCCATGGACTTTCGTTTGGTTCGCATTTGTGAGAAACGTCATAATAGACGGTATAACGGGCAAAATCATGTACATAAACGTAGAACTGTACATTATAACTATAAAAATGCAAATAATTTTTTTTAATCGCGTTCAGCAATTGTTAGCATACAGATTTAAATGCGGAAATAAAAACAATATTTATTCTTATAAAAATAATACGTTTTGTTTCTCACTTGCATAAATCTTAGTCATCTTCCTGCCTTCGTTAGTATACGTTTTCAAAATTTGTATCTGAGCATCAAATGACACTAGCTTCCAAGTATTTTTTAATTGCATAAAAAGCTTTTTAAACTGTTAATATTTATACAATATAATATATATTTCATAACATATCTGCTTTGCCGTGAAATATTTTTGTTCACGTACCTTTTGAGTGTTAACGAAATAATTAAGAAACTTTACAAAGCACAGCATGTGGATCATGATTGGAGTTGAACATTCGATGACGCGGTCCCAATCTTGCCATACCGCGATTAAACCGCACACCTGACACGAAATGAAAAATTTCCGAAATAAAAAATATTAAGTTCAAAAATAAAATATATTGAAATATGAAGAGAAAGAAAATATAACTGCATCTTTTTTTATCCGAAATAATAATTTAAATGCAATAGAATTAAACAAACCTGTTAATTAATGATATGCATTACATAAAAAATTGCATATTGGTAATTAATATTAAATTAAAACTGAATAAAAAAAACAATATTTTTAACTTTTAATGCGACTTAAGTCATTAGATTAATGATTGCGTTGAAATTATTAGTTAATAATTTGTCACTGTACAAACTTGCAAACAAAGCTGACTGCAAATAGCGAATATGAGATTAAAAGATAGGAAAAATCTGTTGATGCTAGACTGTTCCGGCCACTGACCGATCCATGACATAAAGAGTTGATTGATTTTATAATACTCTGTATTCATTTTACCTGGCTTCCGAGAACTAAAGTGCGTCTACAAAGTCCACCGCGGCAGAGGTTGCTCTCGGAAAAATGCCTTTATCTCGTATTCTTTTGGTGAATATTCGCGTATGATACTATACGGAAATTTGCATGGTTAATGATAAAATATTAAGAGTAAATGGGATCGATTGCATAACAACGTACACGCAAATGTACATGACTATAAAGAACAAAGAAGAAAATTAGTCCATCCGCGTGTATCTTTGTCTCGTTTCGTTTTAAAACTTTGTTGTAAAATAAGGGACCACAAATTGCAAATCGTAGATATTTCCCGAGTGTCTGGAAATATCACCGATTTGCAATTTGAGGACTCTTCAAAGAATTGCATTTATTCGTCTCTGTATATTATTATTGTTGCATTGACAGTCTGTTCGGCGTGTCTTTCTCGTCAAGGGATATACACACATATGTACTATAGATCTCCTTCCAGTAAATGAAAGGTAATTATGTATATGCATATACATATGTATAATACTTTTTTATTTCTGGAATAAATTTCATTATTTGACTTTGTTAATAATTTAAAAATTCTTTCTCGAAAACAAAAAATAAATATTAATGTTGTCTAGCACGGTATAGTTTATTAAACAAATCTAAATAAGATTGTGTGCACTTATATGTATAATGTATATTAACATAAAAATTGACAGCTTATTATAAATTATATTAAATTGTTATTGTAGCGTTGTGAGCATCGTAAAATAAGACATGGAATGAAAGTACTTGTTCACATCGAGAACGTGTTTCACGCGATATAAAAACTTAGTCGTATATGTTCCATTGGTCGGTAAAAAGAAGTATACTTCACTGACGACGATTGACACCGTAGAGTAAGAAAATCCCATTATATAAATAACAACTGTGGAACGATTCATATCTCTTTTTTAAATCGTTCGCACTATTGTACTTTAATAAATAATTTAATAATAAAAAGGAAACTTTTTCATATAAGAAGCAAACGTTGAAACATTTTAAACGTTTTTTGAAATAAATCACACATTTTAATTTGGAAATATTTCATAATATCCAGATAGTCAAATAGTTAAATATTAAAAGAGATATTTACACTAAAAAGCATCGGTAGTCAAGATTCAAATGTTAGTAATTACCTATATGAAACTTTATAGCATATTGCATAAAGTATTTATGTGATTTGCAAAATTTGATTAATGACCACGTGAAAATTATTTATCAACAATTTCTTAATACAAATTGTTTATTTTAGATCAAACTTGTAAGTCGATTACCAACTGCAAATATGAGCTTAAAAGATGGAAAGCATCTGTTGATACTCAATTGATTCGGCTCTTGATTGATTTACGACATGAAGAGCTGATTGATTAATCATAAACATATTGCATTACTATGAATTATGAAACAAGAAAATTAATTTGTTTGCGTATTATTTTTCATCTAAAATTTTATCGTAAGCCAAAAGATCTAAGGTTACAAATTATTGATATTTCTTTAAAAATGAATTATATTTATCAGTTCTTATAAATCTTTGTTGCATTAAATAATCACCTGCGCATACATTTTTGTAAAATATTTCTTTAATTTTCTTATTAAAATTCTTTAAAATTTTTATTAAAAAAAAATAAATATTGATACAATTTATGTAAAAAATTTAAATAAGATTATATGCGCTTATATTGACTTATTTTGCATAATTTATTTCAAGTAATTGTTTAGTTATAATAAAAGAATGAATGCGATGATATGCATATGTTTTTTATACATTGCATTGAAATCACATTTTATATTTAAAAAAATAATAGCTTATATTAATATAAAAATTAATAGGTTTTTTAGAACGTATTTGATCAGCGCATCAAAATATGCTTGAAATAATATATTTCTTATATTAAATAAATAGATTAATCATTATTATAAAAACGTGTTCTCGGGAATTTATTATAAATTACCTTATATAATTGTTATTGTAGTGATGTGAGCATCGTGAAATATGATACGGAGACTTGTAAGATCTAAAAATAATGTCGCAAAGATATTTTTATGCTCCATTAGCTATATTATATATCATTATATTATATATTTATATTACTGTGTTATATCTATACTTACCGAGCTAAAGTTCTCTAATGACATAACATACATTTTGCCAGCTTTTATTTGGCACGGTTTAGTCGTACGCAGTAACATGAATTTTAATAGTTGTCTGGACCTCAGCGAAATCATGTACCAATTGCTGCTGTAACTGTTAACATGTTCGATAGATTAATTTCTCATACAGTTTTGGTTTGTTCATCAAGCATGACACTGATTTCTAAAATGTTCATATGCATATATATATATAAGCCAGAAAATTTTGTGAAATTTATTATCGCAAAATACTTCTGTCTTTATACTTTTCTTGGAATTTAATTCAGCATTTTAAAAAAACTTGCAAAAAGTTTTATTCAATATTATGGATCAAGAAATATGCATACATTACTCTTTGCAGTCCGCTGCTGTAATCAATTAATCGTTGAGACGTTAAACACAGATAAAATATGTGTATCAGTTGCGCTACATTAGCGCAGACGATTCTGATAATTTCGTCCAACTGATTGTCCACCATTATCAACTTGAACAATGTGTAATTTATTGAATATTTTAATTGAAAACGCAAATGTATAAAGTTCTTTATTTTATCAAATATTTACTTCAGCCGCGCTGAAACTTAAGGATATAATCACGTTTCCTAGTTGAAAGAAGAAGGATGTCGCGTACGTGGCTGAGAGCAAATCGGTAAACCTTTGGTACAACAATGACACATTAGTTTAACGAAGCTAATCCAAATAATTAAACAATTTTAATTTAACATAAAATTTTATATATGTAGTGATTTTAATTAAATGTAAAAGCTATAAACATTATAGGGAAGTTGTGTACGTTAAATAAAAGGTACACAAATGATATATTTCTTCTCGTATCAAATTGCATGAGACATGTCTACGTATAAAAATAATACTGAGGCACTAACTTTATGGCACGATTGTAGGATTTAATGCAGTCAATGATAATATGATAAGCTTTATCGTCTGCTATATCCGGCTCGAGCATATCAAAGTGCAAATCTTGGATACGTTCCATATTATATCTGTTTCAGAAAAATATAATTCTCGTTCGATATAACACTCCATTCACGGGGATATTCTTAATACTGTAACTTTATTCACAAAAACAACTTACCGTATATTTTCGAACAATGCACAAACGTGCTGAGTGCATAATACGTATAAAGTGTCGATTGCTATGGGCACCGAAATTATATAGAATATGCTGACTATCGCGTGGAGCATCAACAGATTAAAATATTTGTTCACATCGACAACGTGTTCTAAACGATATAAAAACCTGGCCGTGTATGTTTCGTTGGTTGGTAAAAAGTAGTATACTCCACTGACGACGATCGGCATTGTAGAGTAAGAAAATGATGTTATATACAAACCAACTGGTGGAACGTTCACATTTCTTTTTTAAAATGTGTCAGAATTCATGATATTTTAATATTATAATAAAAAAGCTTTTTGCTACAGGAAGTCAAAACTAATCAGAGCGCAGTTTATTAAGACAAGAAACGTTACAGTCTATTTAAAAAAAAATCGCATACTTTAATTGGAAAATATTTTACAATCACATGATCAAAAAATATTAATTTTTTTAAATTCTGATATATCATATACGTTAGATAAATGCTAAATAAAATAAAATTTAAATTATTTATTTTTACTTTATTGATTTTATTTAATAAAATTTTCTGCTTACTTTAGTATAATAATAAATAATTGTATATTATAAAAATATTTTTTTGAACATTGTAATGTAAATCCGATATTTAAAAAATTAAGAGGTAATGCCAACTTTTTCAATATTGCTAAGTTATGTTTATGACAAAAATTTTTTAATTTTGTGTGTTAAAAGAAAGGAAACTTACTTGCATATTCTATCGTATTGGTTCTGCATTGTTCCGCATAATTTCGTAATATTTTATTCTCTGGACCCACTTGTATTATCTTCCAAGTTTCTTCGACATCCTCCAGTAGGTTTTTCATCTGCAGCTCAAGGAAATCGTTCGATTTACAATTACGGAATGATTTATCCAGTAGAACATAATATACGGACTTTATACTTATTAAACAGACAATTGACGAGTTTTATGATTACAAGACTGTTCACCAGTAACGGTGAAACATTTTCCATAATGATACTCAGATCCGTTATTCCGCTTATCAAACCCCAAAACTATAGAAAATCGAGAATAGACCATTAATCACCGTTATATTTAATTATTGTATCTAATACACATACACACAATATACAGTGCACCGTACACACCTCTAAGACTGTCAAACTAAAAATGAAAAACGCCGTGATGGCGAACATCACGTTAGCCTCTCGTCGCGGTTGAAATGGCCATTGGCCGATGACGGATAGAAGCCTTTTGTTCAGTTGATAATAACGATTGTCGTAGAAAGACATTTTGTATTGTTAGATTACCAAAAGAATACTGTGCGGGACGACCAGATACCTTGTCGAATATTCATACGTAATTGCGAAGCTTTCTGGGTTTTCTTGTGAAAAACATTTTAAAAAGAAAATCAAAGCAATAGGGTATATATGCAGCAGTCTGCAATACGTGAAATGGAGCATTATTTATTTACGAGTATTGAGTTGCGTTTTTTTTCACAGCGCGCAACATTTTGTAACCGGGTGAGGTATAACTGCTACTAGCTGACATTGTATATTTATCGTTTTACAAATGCATGCGAAGTTTGTGAAACTACTGTACAAGGAGCTGTATAAAGTGTGTTACATACTTTCAGGATCAAAGATAAGATTATAGGCTTATTTTCTTAAAATACTCAGAGTTGTACAACATCTGTGATTTTAGTTCTGTCAAATTTAGCAATCTTTATATAATATTAATTAGCTAAGTAGAGTCAGTATCGTTGCTAATAAAAGAAATAAGAAAGTATTAATAATTTTTTTCCTGACAATTCCAGGAGTAACATTGAATGTAGAAAATTAATAATAATTTTATTTTGTCATATCATAGCTTATACATAATAATAAACTAAATGTAATTTCGGGATGTAATTTTAAATAATTTTAAATAATCTTACTCAGATGTGTTATCATCTGCAGATTAATCTACACAAGGTACTATCATCTGGTAGACAAAATCAATAAAACCACCTATGTCTAGATGTATCGTTGTTATTTATCTTTTAAAAAAAATATTATTAATTTAATTATTATAAATTTCAGGATTCTTATAAACGACGTTTGGTCACATGTTTATGTGATTAACAAAAGAAATTAATTAATTTTAAATATGTTCTATCGAAGACATCCATGATCGCGAAAGAGACGTTTGAGACTTGTAGTTCTGCGTTCGTAAGTAACTGCTGTTAAAGCAGCGTCTTTTTTTATCGGTCGGTTTATAAATTATTCTGTTACAACGTACAATATATGTATGATAAAGCAATTAACAATAAAAAATAAGACATAAGAACTTTGCACTAAAAAGTATTGATAGTCAGGATTCAAATGTTAGTAATTACTTATATGAAACTTTATAGCATATTGCATAAAGCATTCATGTGATTTGTAAAATTTGACTAATGACCACGTTAAAATTATTGATTAACAATTTCTTAATACAAATTGTTTATTTTAGACCAAACTTGTAAGTCGATTACCAACTGCGAATATGAGGTTAAAAGATGGAAAGCATCTGTTGATACTAAATTGATTCGGGGCTTGATTGATTTACGACATGAAGAGCTGATTGATTTGATAATACTTTGCATCTATTCTAAGTGGCCTTTCAGAACTATAGTAGACCTATAAAGTCTAATCGCAGAAATTGAGCTCGAAGGTAAATCTGTTTTCGATGGTAAATCCCTACTTTTTTTTTAGTAAATCTCTTATTTTTTAGTAAATCTATGAATTATGACAGACAAAATTTTACACAATTTATTATGATATATTAAGATAAAAAGCGATACGTGTTGCATATTATATAGATCATAAACGTATTGCATTACTATGAATTATGAAACAAGAAAATAAATTTGTTTGCGAGTATTATTTTTCATATAAAATTTCATCGTAAACCAAAAGATCTAAGGTTATAAATTATCGATATTTCTTAAAAAATGAATCACATTTATTTGTTCTTACAAATCTTTATTGCATTAAATAATCACCTACGTACACATTTTTATAAAATATTTCTTTAATTTTTGAATAAATTTGACTTTTCTTATTAAAATTCTTTAAATTTTTTATTTAAAAAAAGTAAATAATGATATAATTTATTTTAAAAATTTAAATAAAATTGTGTGCGCTTATATTAACATATTTTGCATAATTTATTTCAAGTAGTTGTTTAGTTATAATTATATTAAAAGAATGGATGATATGCATATGTTTTTTTATACATTACATTAAAATCACATTTTATATAAAAAAAAGTAATACCTTATATTGATAAAAATTAATAGGTTTTTTAGAACGTATTTGATCAGTGCATCAAAATATGCTTGAAATAATATATTTCTTATATTAAATACATGCACATCAATCGTTATTGTAGAAATGTGTTCTCGGGAATTTATTATAAATTATCTTATGATTGTTATGTAGTGATATGAGCATCATGAAATAAGATACAGAGACTTATAAGATCTAAAAATAATATCGTAAAGATATTTGTATACTCCATCAACAGATCACTATATTACTATATTATATATTTATATTAGTTTTATCTGTACTTACCTTGCTAAACATCTGCACTGACATAACGTACATTTTGCCAGTTTTTATTTGGCACGGTTTAATAGTGCGCAGTAACATGAATTTTAATAGTTGTCTGGACCTCAGCGAAATCATGTACCAATTGCTGCTGTAACTGTTAACATATTTGATAGATTAATTTCTCATACAGTTTCGGTTTGTTTATCAAGCATAACACTGATTTCTAAAATGTTCATATGCATTGTATATAAGCCAGAAAATTTTGTGAAATATATTATCGCAAAATACTTCTGCCTTTATACTTTTCTTGGAATTTAATTCAGCATTCTAAAAAAACTTGCAAAAAGTTTTATTCAATATTATGGATCAAGAAATATGCATACATTACTCTTTGCAGTCCGCAGCTGTAATCAATTAATCGTTGAGACGTTAAACACAGATAAAATATGTGTGTCAGTTGCGCCACATTACCGGCAACGATCCTAATAATTTCGTACAACTCATTGTCCACCATTACTATCTTGAGCAATATGTAACTTTATTGAATATTCTAATTGTAAGTAAAAACACAAATGCATAAAAGATTTTAGATTTATCGAATGTTTACCTCAGCCATGCTGAAACTTAAGCATTTAATCACGACTCCTAGCTGAAAGAGGAAAGATGTTCGCGTACGCGGATGATAGCAGATCGACAAATCTTTGTGCATAATGAAACAGACACATTAGTCGATTGAAGCAAATCCAAATAATTAATTGATTTTAATTTGAAATAAAATTCGATGTAATTTTAATTGTTAAAAGTACAAACAGAATAGAGTATATTGTGTGTGCTAAATAAGAAGTACACAAATTCTATATTACATATGAAAATGATATTGGCATTAATTTTATGGCACGATTGTAGGATTTAATGCAGTCAATGATAATATAATAAGCTTCATCGTCTGCTATATCTGGCTTGAGAATATCAAAGTGTGAATCTTGAATGCGTTCTATATTGTATCTGGTTAAGAGAAATATAATTTTCGTTCCATGTAAACTTCATTTACAAGAATATTCTTGATAATTTTGTTTACAAAAACTTACCGTATATTTTCGAACAATGCACAAACGTGCTGAGTGTATAATACAAATAAACTGTCAACTGCTATCGGCACTGACAATATATAGAATATACTGATAATCGCGTGAGCCATTAACAGGTTATACAGTCTGTTCACATCGAGAACGTGTTCCAAGCGATATAAAAACTTAGCCGTACATGTTTCATTGATCGGTAAAAAGAAGTGTGCTGCATTGACGACGACTGGCATGGTAGAATACGAAAATGCCATTATATAAATAACAACTGTGGAACGACTCAATATCTCTTTTTCAAATCGTTCGTACTATTGTACTTTAATAAATAATTTAATAATACAGGGTGTCTGGCAATAATCGCCCCACCGGTCATATACAGGTAGAGGAGGTCAAATCGAGTAGAAAAGTCCTTTACCATTTTTTGATTTTTGTAATATGTACTAAGTAATTAACGAAAAAAGATTGGTGAATCCGTGCAAGTAAAGCGCGCGCAGCGAGAAGGACATCCCACTGCTATGCGATCACTAGGCGCGCGATGAAGCGTTGGGAGGAGCGCTCTACAAATGACAATGGCAACATACGAGCGGCGCGTAACGCTAGATCCTTGTGTCCTAGTGATCGCGTAGCAGTGGGACGTCCTTCTCACCGCGCGCGCTTACGCTTTTAACTCGCGCGGATTCGCCGATCTTTTTTCGTTAATTACTTAGTACTTATTATGAAAATTAAAAATGGTAAAGGACTTTTCTACTCGATTTGACCTCCTCTACCTGTATATGACCGGTGGGGCGATTATTGCCAGACACCCTGTATAAAAAGGAAATTTTTTGATATAAGAAGCAAACGTTGAAACATTTTGAACGTTTTTTTGAAATAAATCACACACATTTTAGTTGAGAAATATTTCATAATATTCAGATAGTTAAATGTTAGCAATGTTCACAGATTGACGGTAAATTTGATTAAATGTTTACAAAAATTCCTAATTGTAATAAAAAGAAAAACTTACCGGCATATTGTTTCGTATAAATTCTGCATTGTTCCGCATAATTTCGTAATATTTCATTTTCTGGACCCACTTGTATCATCTTCCAAGTCTCTTCGACATTCTCCAGAAGTTCTTTCATCTGCAGTTCGGAGAAATCGTTTACAATTACGAAGTGATTCAGTTAGTTTCACTCGGCAAAACGTATACGGACTTTATATTTATTTATACGACAGTTGGCAAGTTTTATGAATATGATGATGTTTACTAGTAACGGCGAAACATTTCTCATAACGATACTTAGATCTGTTATCCCGCTTATCAAACCCCAAAGCTATAGAAAATCAGAAAAACACTTTTAATCTCGCTTGTAGTTGGCACATCGTATCTAATGCACCTGACATACCTCCAAGGCCGTTAAACTGCAAATGAAAAATGCTGCAATACCGAACATTACGTTACTCTTTAGTCGCGATTGAAATGGCCATTGGCCGATGAGAGATAAAAGCGTTTTGTTCAAATGATAGTAGTGATTATCGTAGAAAGACATTTTGTACTACGAGAAAAAGTGCGAGACGCCCTCAAATATATCTCTTTTTATAACTTGATTTCCGCGAACATTCCTGCTCCGAGCCAATAGGAAGTCACATTTTGGCGAACTATGATTCGCTGAAAATTCTTACCAAGAAGCGGCTTGTGATAATTCCCGTGCGTTGGGTTATTTTTTTAATAATTTATTAAATCCCTCGTTAATAGTTCGGCCATTCTTCGGTCATTTAAGCCATCGCGGCCTACGTTCGTTAGGTCGATTATATCATCGTCAACTAAAATTTGTCTGAAAATTTCATAACTGTTTGTATGATTTAGTTTGATGATAATTGATATAATAGCGATAATTTCTTACCAACACATCCAATAAATCGCCTAATTGGAACCCATTTATGTCCAAAGTCACATATTGATCACGGTTTAAAACTTTTTTAATTACGTGTGATACTCTGAATTTAGGAAGCAATTTTTTATTTATTCCCGGCACAGTTTCGATGTTACACACATTCGATATCTATAATCGCCGACTTTATATTCACGAGCAATTTTTGTCTTAAATTATCTCTGCTCCGGGAAAGCGAAATAGAAAATCATATTTCGGCGAACTGCAATTCGCCGAAAATTCCTAAGAAGCGGCTAGCTCTCGTGCGTCGGGCTACTTCTTTAACAATTTATTAAATCACTCGCTAACAACGTGAAATTTATATACGCCAATAAATAAGACAATATTATTATGCAGGTAGATAAAAAATTAAAGTTTGATAATTCATGTAAGAATAAAAGTACGTTTATTCGCAAATATTTTTATGATATACACGAAGTATAGAATTTCAGATGACAGGTAATTACGTGTCATTCGGGCTTAGCGATATCATTAACATGACGTAGGAGACAGATGTCCTCATGAGCTTAAAAATATAATATAATGTTAAATATATATTTTTGTTTATCTATAGACATATATATAATATAGAGTATAAAACTAAAAATGTGCCTAAAATTGTAGGTGTTTTGATTATCATACAAAGATAGATTGATTACGAAGTTATTAAATAATACATATTTTTACATCTATTATCTCTGCATTAAATATTTTATCGTACCATACTGTAGCCTTCTAAACTGATTACATATAATTTGGCCAAGGTTATGCGATATGGCTTTCGGCATTTCGCTATTAGAAACAACAACATCTTTTTTGCCTTCAATGATGATTGATACCACATTCCGTTATACCTGAAAGTGCACCATAATTACTGGAATCAAATATTATTAATTAATCCAAATAACAACTTACGCAGCGGTAGAAAGCTCAGAACTGTGATCTATTATGCTCTGTGCTATCCAACTGTAAAAGAAAATTCGAGAAGTTTGAAGAAGCAGAAGTGGGCCGTTTTTCATTATTTCCGCAGTATCCTTACGAGTTACGATCTGCAATAATATACAAATAATTACATACATTTTTGAACAAAATTTGAATCAATAAGAAAGTAAATTCTTAAGTAAATAATTTTATTCCTACACAGGACGTTCAGGAACTTATACTTTTAATGACAGATTTTCTAATCAATTTAAGATCAACTTTTTGTTAACGAAAATCTCAGCATTTATTGCATTTTAAAAATTTGTAATATCTTTTTAATTAAGCCTCTAATTAAAATTTTATCTCAACATGTCGCCTACTTGAAATTAACTGAATCTATTATTTTTTTGTTTTTCCGAAGCTTTTAATAGGCGAAAATTTTTTTTAATTACTTAATATTCGGAAACATTTAATGTCTCAAAATTTCTGTTGAGAGAAAATTGATTTCAAATTGGTTAGGTAATTTATCATTAAAAGGATATTTGCAAGACTTGGAACATTCTATATATTATTATAATATCTTATTATTATTAGATTGACAATTTATTAAAAATTTATGAACAACTTATTAAATATTTCTTAATTATGTACCATAACGCATGAGGAACATTGAAATAGAACTCCTAAACCAACATCGGTCATAAGGCTTATTGCAAACGTTGAGTTAATTAACTGAATTAACCTGTTTGCGATAAAAAAGAAAAAAATGTTTTATTATTATTTTGTGGTTTATATTAAACTAATACACTTTGTTTTTACTTATTAAATTCATATAAACCTTTCTATTCTGACATGTAGCTGCACGCATTGTATCGTATTTGAAACATGTTTATCGCCTTTAGATACACGATTCGATTTATCATTTGACAGAGACAAATTCTCCAAACGATGACTACGAGTTCACAATTGTTTACACAAAAGTGTACATTCTCTTGTAAAATTAAATTAAAATTTTATAATGCTATAGTTACCTTAATATAGTAAGCATACCGCAGGTATATTGCAGCAGCGCAAAGTACATGGTGTCGATTGCGGACACTGTCATGATGCACATTATGTATCCTACAGACGAGATCGCAAAGAGAATGTAATAATATTTTTCTAGATCTATAAAGAATTCACTGGGATGTGGCAGCCTCTTTGGTCTCGTTACATTCGATGCTAGAATGAAATCGAGTATCGGCACAGTGAGCGGCGCTGTGACGTAGCTGGTTGCGCCCACGATGATAAAAACTGGAAAAAGTTACTTCTTTCCGCTAATTGCTCGATACAAGAGTCAAATCGTTAGATATACTTAAATAGGCTAATGTGAACATCCGACTTCTTTCGATATATTCTATTAAAATTCGCACGTCTTTGTGATTCGCTAATAGACACCAGTCGTAATTCATGTGCTGAACGAGCATCGTTAACTAGAGACACGATAATTGTTCTTTGATGTAGAATAACTTTTATTGTTGATTGATTTCGATGGATTTACGCGTTTACCTTTTTAATCATACAACGAAGACCAACTGATTTCATTAGACATAGGAATGCACCGGTTAAGGTTGGTAGAATATTGTAAAAGTCGTCTAAAGTTTTCCCATGTTTGAACAAATACGTGATCTGTTAATAACAAATGTGATATATTTTATTTATAACTTTCGACGTAATTGCACGCAGAATAATTGGAATGATAAAAATCTCCGTAAAATTTATATAGCAGAAATATCAGCAGAGTTTCTTACAATCTTTTAGCCCGCGTATAATAATTTTCGAGATACCTGCGGCAGGCATACAATCAATATACCGAGTATTGTACAACAAAAAATTGTATCTTTATTAGACGATGATTGTTCCGGCCACAAGCCAATAAACGACAGCAGCAGTTTGTTAACCCGTAAATACCGGGTGCTAAAGATATCCATTGGTTAGGCACTATACTTGCTTGAAGTAGAATTCTTAAATAACTCGTCGAAGTTTCCGTGAAACTCTTTCGTCGACCATCCTACTCATTTGCTATTCTCTTGGAATGTCGAAGTGTTGTCGATAGAAAAGAAGTGTACGTTAAATGGAATCGATAATAAGGGTACCTCCCAGCCGCGCGGTACGCAGAGTGCTGCAACTTTAATTTACTCTCGTTGACATTATAGCATAAAAGAAAAACAGAGAGAGACGTTTAGTTTTAAATGTACATGGTTTGAGAATCGAATGAAACGGTAATAGGTTGTGTGATATAATTTGAAAAGTTTTTTTATCCAGCTGCAGAGAATGTTGAAAGCACCTATGTAATTTTAAGAACAAAACAACGTGTTCTTTTTTTTTGGTTCAGAACTGTGAAGATAAAACATTTTCAAAAACGGCAAAAAGCAGGTAAAAGTGCAAACTTTAACTTCAAAATGATTTTTTGATTTTTTATCTGCGATGATTAATTGCCAAGTTTCAGCAGTTTGAAAGTTTCTCAATTTTAGGCGTCTGAAAAGTGTCTTCTATTTTATAAATAAAAAATATTAAGCAAAAAATAGCAATTTTTAATATTTAAAAATATAGAAGATTTTAGGAATTGGATTTGAAAAAGACAATTGCATAATAAAAACAATATACAAATTATGGCCACAAAGTACAAGTTAATTGAGAGATCACGATAAAAACCAATTAAGTATGCTTACAATTAATTTGAGATTGGCTGTTGTTTAATTAGAAAGTAATTAAATCTTATTCAACAATAGATTAAAAAATTAATATATGATAGCAATAAGATACAAAAAATGCGATATTTAAGAAATAGTTTATCTTTATTTACTACAATATTTTAACCAAGCTAGGTAACAGTAGGGATGCAGGGATTCACTCAATATCTCTTTTTATCATCAGATCTATAAGTGATTAAATGTTCCGTTAAAACATTTGTATGTAAAACAACTGTGGAAGGTTTGTAAAACCAAGAAATAGAATTTATAATAGTAAGTTTCTGTGGAAGTAAAGAGTTTCTCTAAAAAGGTTCAGTAAAGTATTACAGTGTGACATACGTGATACAATAAATTATAAAATACAAGAAAGAGATATTCGTCAAACATGAGCGATATTAAATACAATTGTGGGGGTAAAGTCTATCTGGTTGAAGATCCATTCACGTGGGGATGATTTAGTAAAGAATAGAGCTGCAAATACACTTTATCGTTTGGATTTTGTCGATACAAAAAATTATGTAAAAAGTAAATGATCTGGAAGTCGAATATATGATTATCTATAGTAGAAGGAAGTCCATGCGTTCATGCTATCGGCGAAAGTTCGATTACGAATCGGCGTAGGTTTTAAGCTTGCGACCCATAAACCTACTCTCCGAATTCCGTTCCCCATCAAATACAAATCACTTATTGTCAGTGCATTGCAGTCTTTGTTTATTCCTTCTGTAGGATCCGCGATCTGACATAAGTTCGAAATACTTGAATAGAATTTCGAAGCAAAATTGAACTGCAATAACAAAGTTTTCTCGCCTGTATTCAGCTCTGCGTCCGAATAACAATATAGGTAATAATAATAATTTAAAAACAATTTATTATTTTATACGATCTATATTTATTATATGTGATATACTTTTGTATATTAACACCTGAGCTCTCGACGTATAAAAGACTAAAAATACACCGCTCGAAAGTTTGGAGCATCTTATAATTTTTAAATAAATTAATTTTTTATAGTTACAATTATGTTATTGAAATATCGACATTATATATGAATATATATTCTTTAGATATAATCTGATTATACACATATCTATTTATAATGTTGGCAAATGAAGTTGATAAAACTTTTTTTTTTTAATATAAACATAGGGTGCTTCAAACTTTTCAACGGTAGTATTTATGTGGTTGGGAAATCTCATGGATATTTTCTTACTCTATGATGTTTCGCGCAGTGAGATCATTACCGTGCAATAAGAGAGCGATGTTCTCATTACCTTTAAAAGAATATTTTTTGCATAATATATTATTCTTTCAGTAAAGTATACAATCGTGGCAATTTTTATATTATCATATACTGATATTTTTTGCATTATTACCATACTGAAACCTTGGAAGCTGATAACGTATAACTTTCCGAGCGTTATTCGACAAACTTTTTGACTCCTCGCGATTAAGAACATTAACATCTTTTGCACCTTGATAGGTGCGTCATACCACATTCCATTATAGCTGCAAAAATAAATATTTTGATTAAAAAATAATTTGTCCTACTTTAAAATAATTATCTTACGCTGCTATCGAAATTTTGGTGCTATGATCAATCACTTCTTGTCCGGCCCAACTGTTGAAAAACAATCGGCAACTTTGTAGTGATATGAGAGCTATGTATCGTATAATTTCAGATGATCGTCCCATTCGAACTACGATCTACAAACAATTTATTGACGTTGAAAAAAATATCTAATAGCATTTAAAATTAAAAGGATATATTCAAATTGTATCGCAGTTTGGACAGATTGAAAATAAATGGATTATTATTACATTTACCATCACACAACAAGAAGTATGTAATAGAAATCCAAATCCAACGTCAAATAAGAGAAATAACGTGAATGTTAACTCCATTATCTCTAGTAATCTGATAAATATTATTGTCAGTAAGTGTGCAAAAATTAAATAAAGTGTGAATGAAGTACCAATATATCGAAATAGAAATATTTTTTGCTTAAAATATTATCACACTGACAGCCTTATTTTTTCATGTAGTTGAATACAATGCCGCATACGTTGATTGATTTTATCGTGGTTACATATGTAATCATCGTCGATCCATTGTAATGTGTTAAATGCTGTTAAATTTTCCAAACGATAACTGTAAAAATTATATCTATCTATTTTTATACATCTCATTAATTTTAGAATCGACTTTTCATGCATTTACTCGTGTACACAACTGTATCTCCTTCACTCTAATAGAAATACAATAACAAATTACATGATGGAATTAAGAACTATTTATGAATTTTCAAGTCGCGTAAATTAAAAATTTTGAACTTGTCATATTGGATATATAAACTCAATTTTTTAAATCAAAGATAGACATTATTTAATTCTCCTTTTGTTTAAAAATAAGAATATTGTATCGGGCAGAATATTAGCGACGAAAGAAGCTTTTAAATTGATGTAGTTTTTATCTAAGCTGTTGTGTCTTTAGAGAAAATCTCTTAAAAAAACAAACATTTTTACATAAATAATTACATATAATTCTAAGAATATCTACATTTCGATTTTTGAAGAGAAAATTGCAATTAAAACGTTACCAATCTATTATCTAAGAATTTATAAATTGCTTTTAATTCTGTACTTTTTGTATTTTTATTTCTATGAAATGAGAAAAGTAGCTGCATAAAAGTCGCATAAATTTTGTAATATTTATCAATTATATTAATGAAATTACGAGGATGAAATTATAAATATTTCTCACCACAATATGTCATACATTCCGCAAATATGTTCCACAAGTAAAACGTACATAGTTTCGGTGGCTACAGCAATTGATACGCATGCAACATACCCGACACAAATGTTTAACATAAGTGGATAATAATATTTCTCTTGATTCAGGAAATACTCTCCCAGTTGTGGGAATTTTTTCGGTCTCGTTTCGTTTAGGGGCGATATAACGTCGAGTATAGGTGCGATAAGAGGTATCAAACTGTAGCTCCATACAAATCCGAATATAGAAACTAAATAAAGAAGGAAGAAAAATTATTTTATTTATCTTTTAATGATATTATCAAATTTTCATTAGAAATCAAAGCGCTATTTACTGAAACTAGCGATCAATTATTTGTATATTTATTATGTTAGCAACTTTTTTTAATTAATATAAAAATATTCCTTAATTGATGTTTGAATTCGTACTTGAATACGCTAATGTGAATTTTCGACTGTTGTCGGCGTAATGCGTTAAAATCTGTATTTCTTGTTTCGTTAATAAATTGTTCCAATCCTCGCGTATGTGTTGTAGAAGCATCTTAAACTGAAGCAACGCCTACATAAAGTGAATTCAAAACTAGACGCTGTCGAGTGCGGTTATATTTACCTTCTCGGAATTATAAATTAAACTGATGACTTTCATAACACATATGATGCCACCCGTCAGAGTTGGCATGAGTTCGACCAGGTTATCCAAATCATCCGTATGTTTGAACAAATATACAATCTAATAATTAAATAAGGAATTTATGACGCTGATTATGTTTCACATATATACTTGGACAAAACGTATATTCGTTTTTAGATGATTGTTTCTGTGACACAAAAAAAAATATGACTATTATTTAAATTACATTTGTATATATTTTATGAATCTTTTTATATATATACTTATTTTTTAGATATGTTTAATAATTAATCTATTATCATGTCATAGCTACCTGCGGCAGACACGTTATCGTAACACCGTATATGGCGAACGATAGAGTTAGAATTTTCATAAAGGACGTTTGATACGGCCACAGGCCTACGAAAGACAGGAAGAGCTTGTTAATTCTAAAATATCGCGTATCAAAGAAATCCATGACTTAACTGACAATAAGAATTCGTAAATATTCGCCACCAGAACGGTGACTCTATCCGTCTAATCTATAACTGCCTTAGTATTCCGTTAAAACAGTGTTCTAGTCAGCATACTGAAAGATATATAATGCGACACGATATCAATAAAAAATATGGTAAAACACGTGTTAACCAAGTGAAACATATCAGTAAATAGAATTTATGATAGCACTTCTTCTTATAGCTTAAAGCTTTGAAGATATCTCACATTATTATTTCATATATTTGATGTCACAAGCCGCGGCTAGATACCGCATCGATTAAAGCCTTTTATTTCTTCAAGAAACGTTGTCCACGATAAACGGATAAGTTTTGACATAAATTCATATATTCTTAATGTGCGTGTAATATAGCAATATTTATCGTAACAATTCTACGTGTACAACATCAATAACCGATTAATTTAGTATATGTTTCGCTAACGCTTTTTGCAAATGCAAAAATATTTTGTCAATTTATCGTTTATATGTATATTTTATTGATAAGACTATCAACTAGTATTATACCATCATATAAGACAATGTAGCAGCATCATCAGTCATAGATTATAAAATATATATATTCTTTTACATTCTATCATTTTTTTCGCGAGACATAAAAAATAAGATACACATATATTCTAAATATTAAGTACATCGTTTTATTACAACAATTACAAACATACTTTATAACAGTAATGAAAGTTAAACATTCTATTAAATAACACTGATTCTATAAAAGTATGTAACACACTACCGCATCTATTGCATCTTTATCGCATAGATAAAAGAGCAGTGAAATACGACATAGCAGTTTGCATTACCTTAAAGTATCAAAAAATAAATGCATTATAATGCTATATAAGATAAATTATAAAATTTTATAAACCAGACATACCGAACTGCACAAAGCCATAGATATAACGACAAATTTCCCTGCCAAAAGGGAGCACGGAACAAGACTTTTGTGAAGAAGTATTCCTAATAATCTTTTGCTTTTTGCAGAAAACGTATACCATTGTGAACAGTATCTAAAGAAAACAAAATTCTATGAAATTGCAATATTGTGCAACCAGTTTCTATTTATTTGCAGCATAGTAAAGATAAAAATTTAGATAAAATAGCAATGAAAATATCACTGCTGAAATCAGTATAATAATACTTATTAAACAACACTAATCCTTTATTCACAAATGCAACATGTATATATGTTTATCAAAAGTACAATATTTGGATCATTTAAAATCAAAAGTAAGCAATGTAACTCTAATCCTTACGCTTTGTCAAACACCTCTGCGCTTCGATCCATCAGTAATTGTCCGGGAAAACACATACATATGAGATGACTAATCACACCTAAGGATAAACAAGCGAATCTCACTACTTCTTCTGTATTTCCTAGTTTGTTGAGAACCTACAATATTTTTGTCATAATAATAGAAAATACATTTCAATCAGTTGAGGCATATTCTGTGTCTTTTCTTACTTGTAATCCAATTACACTCAAGCCCATTATATTCAAGAACAGAAGTAAAAACGTCACGTATGTGAATGTAGAGTTCAATAGGCGAACGTATCTAAAGGAATCAGATAAAATAATTTAATATAAAAAAATCGAAAAAATAAGTTGTTACATTTATTCAATAAACGTTTACAAAATTAATATCACTTATTATAAGAAATAAAATTTTATGCAATACGTACTCTAATGCAAGTTGATGTTTCTTCAAGCAAGCCATCAATTCATGATAATTATTGTCAGCAGAATGATGTTTCTCTATAAAAAGATGATAATGCACCTTTGTATGTGTTTTTTCGTCATTGTAAATTTCAGCATCAATTTTACCAATATTTTCAAGACGATGGCTTAGAAATAAAATGTTCCAAATTAGTACTTTACACCAAGTATATTAGTTAAAAAATAAATTTACAAATTTTAAAAGTAAATTTACAAATTTTTAAAAACTCTATGGACAGTATTTCAATTTTGTGTTTAATATATTTCTCACCTGATAGCCGTAAACAGACTGCAAGTATGCAATACGCATACAATATACATAGTATCAATGATCATTATTATACTCATGTTTATTATAATCGCCACAAAGGCGTATAATAAAATGGGATAATAATATTTTTCTTTATCCACTTTATATTCACCTTGATATAAATATTTTAGTGGCCGCGACTCATTAAGCGGTACTACGATATCTAAGACTCTTGGTATTAATGGAATTAGCAGATATAGAAAAAATATTATGTAAAAAAATGCTAAGAAAAGAAGATATTCATTACATTAATATTAACGTTATATGGAATAAAAACAGTAATTTTTTATTAGGATAAATGTAATAATCTCGAAAATTAGAATATATAAAAAAAATTGGGATTTAAAAGTTTATTTAGTTATGTTAAAAAATTTGAAATATTATCAAGCAATATATAAAATTTCTGTATTTTTTTATATTATTGCGTATTATTTGTTTAAAAACTAATTATATGCATATACCTGCATAATATTTTGTCACTCTTCGGCCGATTGCAGCATAATGTCTTAAAATATGACGTTCGGATTTACTATTGAAATGCACCCAATGATCATTCATGAATTGCAGTAAAAGTCGAAACTAATCGACAAAAAAGTTTAGGATAAATACTCACAGTCAGAATTAGCGATATCGATTTAAAAACTTACCTTCTCATTGTTCACAATAATATTAATTAATTTTGCATTAGAAACAAGAATAGAGCAAGTATTAATCATGCTTTCGACCGCTATATCCATATCGCCCCAATTTTCTTGCAATAAAAACACCTATGAATTAATGGCAGTGTTATGCTCATGAAATGCTGGCAGTGAAATGCTCATGAAAAATTGAATATTGAATATTGAAGAAAATTTCAATATTAAAAATAAATATGTAAATATATTTTTTTATTAAAAAGGACGTATCCAACATTATTTTTTAAGTGATCATTTACTGATGGCTTTCTATTATTATCCATTATTTGCTTAATTAGCATGATTCATCATCTCAGTTACGATAGCAGAATATTGCACTGCTAGAAGACATGGTAGCAATATTTTCAATGTTTTATGTTGATATGGCCAAACTCCGATTTGCGACAAGAAAAATTTATTGGCAGCATAATATTCTTCCATGTTCGCGTGCATGTCTGACATAATTTTTATGCGACTACGCGGTTGCCGAACAGTTTTCCTTTATTAAATATTTTTACAGTAGAAAAGCAACACACAGAAAACAAGAGTAATGTAAATGATAATATCGGATTGTCAAACGTCATTTGACGAACTGTGAAACTTAGTTATTCAATTGATTGAACCCTCTTGTTGTTGTGCTTGTTGTGTCAGTTTGTTACATCGCATGAGAACGTTGTAATATACACCAAAATTGTTAAAAGTTCTAACGTTAAATTAATTAATATTATTGTGAATGACAAGGTGAGTTTTTAAAATCGATATCGCTAGTACTGATTGTATTTATCTTAATTTTTTTGTTGATTAGTTTCGACTTTCATTGCAATTAATGAATGATTATTGGTGCTTTTGATAGGAAATCCAAACATTATTCTAAGATATTATGCTGTGTGAAATCGGCGGAAGAGTGACAAAATATTATGTAGGTATATGCATCATTAGTTTAAAAAAAAAATAGTACGCAATAATGCAAAAAAATGCAAAAATTTTATATGTTGCTCAATAATATTTTAAATTTTAAAAGAATTAAAATTATAAATCCTCTGTAATACACGCAAAAAATCTACTTGGTGCAGCCAATGCAACAGAAGTACATATAATAATGATATAAGTTAATTTTCAAATTGTAGATAATAATATTGTAGATAATTTCTATATAAAGAACACATTTGTATAACAAATTTTATCAATATCGTCATTATTATTGCATTTTTCAATATTGAACAAGATTTTAAGGTTACTTCGTTTCTCCAATACATTAGAATAATGTTTTTGTAAATTGTATGCTCTTTCTCTTTTTTTTTTCTATTCATTAAATCGAAAATTTCTTTGTTAAAATAAAATATATTCTTTTATATTCCACCATTTTTTTCGCATAAAAAATAAGATACGTGCTTATATTCTAAATATGCTTATATTCTAAATATTAAGTACATCGTTTTATTACAACAATTACAAACATACCTTATAAGAATAATGAAAGTTAAACATTCTATTAAATAACACTGATTTTGTAAAAATATATAACACGCTAGCACATTGCATTTTTATCGCATAGATAAAAAAGTAGTGAAATACGACGTAGCAGTTTGCATTACCTTAAAGTATCAAATAATAAATGCATTATAAAGCCATATAAGATAAATTGTAAAATTTTTTAAACCAGACATACCGAACTGCACAAGGTCATAGATATAACGACAAATTTTCCTGCCGAAAGAGTGCACGGAACAAGAAGAATACTTCTTTTGTAAAGAAGTATTCTTAATAAACTTTTGCTTTTTACAGAAAACGTATACCATTGCGAACAATATCTGAAGTAAACAAAATTATATGAAATTGCAATATCACGCAACCTGTTTTTATTTATTTGCAGCATTGTAATGATTAGAATTTTAGTAAAATAACAATGAACATATTACTTTAATAATACTTATTAAACAGCATTAGTCCTTTATTCACGAACGCCACATGTACATATGTATGTTTATCAAAAATTGAAATATTTGAGTCGTTTAAAATCAAAGATAGGCAATGTAATTCTAATTCTTACGCTGTGTCAAACACCTCTGAGCTTCGATTTATCAGCAATTGTCCGGGAAAACACATACATATGAGATGACCAATAACACCAAAGGCTATAAAAGTGAATCTCACTATTTCTTCTGTACGTCCTAATTTATTAATAAGCTGCAATATTTACGTTTTAATAATAGAAGATACATTTTCATCATTTGAGGCATATTCTGTATTCTTTCTTACTTGTAATCCAATTACACTCATAATTAGCACTTATATTCAATAACAAAAGCAAAAATGTCGCGTATGTGAATGTCGAGTTTAGCATGTGAACGTGTCTAAAGAGATCAGATGAATTAATTTATTACAAAAAAATTGAAATAAATTGTTACATTTATTCAATAAACCTTTACAAAATTAATATCATGTATTATCGGCAATGAAATTTCGCGTAATACGTACTTTAATGCAAGTTGATGTTTTTTCAAGCAAGCCATCAATTCATAATAATCATCGTCAATAGAATCATGTTTTTCTATTAATAGATGATAATGCATTTCTCTATGCGTTTTCTCGTTATTGTAAGTTTCAGTATTAGTTTTACCAACAATATTTTCAAGACGATGGCTTAGAAATGAAATGTTGTAAATTAGCACTTTACACCAAGTTTATTCGTTAAAGAGTAAATTTCAAAAACTCTATAGATAGTATTTCGATATTGTGTTTAATATTCTCACCTAATAGCAGTTAATATACTGCAAGTACTGCAGTTAATATACTGCAATACGCATACAATATACATAGTATCAATGATCAATATTATACTCATGTTAATCACACACATCACAAGGGCGTGTAATAAAATGGGATAATAATATTTTTCTTTATCCAATTTATATTCAGCTTGAAGTACATTTTTTAGTGGCCGCGACTCATTAAGCGGTATTACGATATCTAAGATTCTTGGTACTAATGGAATTAGCACATATAGCATTAATATTGTGTAACAAAATGCTAAGAAAAGAAGATATGCATTAAATTAATATTAACATTATACTGAATAAAAACAGTATTTTTTATCAGGGATGAATGTAATGATCTCGCAAATTAGAATATATGTATAAAAAAATTGGATTTAAAATTTTATACAGTTACGTTAAAAATTTTGAAATATTATCAAGCAATATATAAAATTTCTGTAATTTTTTGTATTATTGCGTACTATTTTTTTAAAAACTGATAATGCATATACCTGCGTAATATTTTGTCACAGTTCGACTGATTTCAGCGTAATGTCTCAATATAATGTTCGGATTTACTATGAAAGAGCACCCAATGATCATTTATGAATTGCAATAAAAGTCGAAACTAATCAACAAAAAATTTAAGATAAATACTCACAGTTTTAGCGATATCGATTTGAAAACTCACCTTGTCATTATTCACAATAATATTAATCGATTTTGCATTAGAACCCACAATAAAGCAAATATTAATTATACTTTTGATTGTTGTATCTATATCGCCCCAATTTTCTTGCAATAAAAACACCTTTGAATTAACGACAGTGTTTATGAAAAATTAAACATTAAATATTAAAGAAAATTCAAATATTAAAAATAAATATGTAAAAATATATTTTTATAAAAAAAGACGTATCTAGCATTATTTTTTAAGTATTCATTCATTGATGTCTCTGTATATTGTTATCTATTATTTGCTTAATTAACATGATTCATTACCTCAGTTAGGATACCAAAATATTGTAATGCTGATAGAAAGCACGGTAGCAGTATTTTCAATGCTTTATGTTGATATGGCCAAACCCCAATTCGCGACAAGAAAAATTTATTGAGAGCATAATATTCTTTCACGTGTTCGTTCATACTTCTTAATTCTTATGCGACTACGCAGTTGCCGAACAGTTCCCCTCTATTAAATATCTGGTTACAGTAGAAAAGCAACACACGGAAAACAAGAGTAATATGATTGATAGTTCAGGATTGTCAATCGTCGTTTGACAAACTGTGAAACATATTATTTTGATCGTTTGACGAGCTGTGAAAGGTAGCTATTCGATCGATGACAAACCCTCTTGTTGTCGTACTGTGACAGCTTGTTATAGTCGCATGAAGACATGTAGTAACGTGCACCGAAATCATAAACCCTCTGTAATTCGCAAGATCTACTTCGTGGAGCCAGTGCAACGTACTCAATAATATAGATAAAAGTTAATTTTCAAATTGTAGATAATACATTTGTATAAAGAACACATTTGTATAACAAATTTCATCAATATTGTCAATATTGTTGTATTTTTTAATATTGCACAATTTTTAGGTTATTTTGTTTTTCCAATACAGAATAATTTTTTTGTAAATTTTGTGCTTTTTTCTTTTTTTCTCTTTTCTATTCAAAAAATCGATAATTGCAAAATGTTAAAATAAATATATTTTTTATATTCTACTATTTGTTTCGTAAGACGTAAAAAATAAGATACATATGCTTATATTATAAATATTACATACATCGTTTTATTACAACGATTACAAACATACTTTGCAAGAATAATGTAAGTTAAACATTCCATTATATAACACTGATTCTACATATAAAAGTATGAAACACGCTGCATTGCATCTTTATCGCATAGATCCGTGCTCGGAATTAGTCTGAACATTTCAGCCGATTTCCGTGATATACGCCTCCTTTCCTCTCCTACC